ATGACACCTACAAATTATTAATTGGTCAGTTGGTTGAATATAATTGTATAATTAATTGATTTTTTTACATAAAAAATATAATTTTATGAAAATTTTTATTTAAATATATTTTATGAGTAAAAATCTATATTTTTCTAACTTGTATTTTTACACAAAAAATATAATTGTATTTTTTTTGCTAAAAGTAAAAGTTTTTTGTATGTTTTAGATTGTTTTGATGTGTTAATCTCAAAAATAATTTTTAAAAAATAAAAAAAATATTATTTTAATATATTTTGACATGAAAAATACTTTAAAAAACAATTACAACCATTTTTAAATAAGCTACAAGAAAAAAGACTTCAATTTTAATCTTAAAAAATTAGTAATTACATATTAATCTTTACGAGTGACTCTGAATAGTTAAATATAAATTTGTCATAATTAGATAATAATTTATTATAAACAAATTAATTAGATAACCTAACAAATATATTTATGTATCAATAAAAAATATTTAAACTCATGAAAAAATTTAATGGTATAAAACTAGAATAATAACTTAAAATAACAATAATTTTTTATTTAATTATTAAATAATACTTAAAAATTTACAAGAATCTCAAGATCCAGTTTTCAAGCAGCCATGAAGTCACTGTTACCACTATCAAATCTCTAGATTTTAAAATTTTCAATTTTGATAATTATGCAATTTGTTTTATTTAAATAGATATTTTACCATGTATTAATAAAATTTTAATCACGGCTGACATGTGTTTCTCGCCAAATTTTTTTTCTTCTGTATTATTTCAGCATTATTTTACTATTGTAGCGTGTACTCACGTGAAAAACCAGGAAAACATATCGTTATGCGCTCAGTCGACAGTGTCCAAAGCGAGAAGCACACAGGGCATTTTTCATTAAAAGAAGAAAAACGTGAACTGATCAAACCGAAACAGCAGCAAAACCAGCAAAAACCAGAACTCAAATAGCCAAAAATAGCCAGTCTTAACCATCTAGGTGGTGGCCAAGTGGTAAGGACTTTGGATTAAGAGGTTTGCTCCCTCTGTGGTCTCAGGTTCGAGTCCTTGGTTGCTCATATGATGGCCACTGGAGGTTTACATGGTCGTTAACTTCAGGGCCCGTGGGATTAGTCGTGGTGCGCGCAAGCTGGCCCGGATACCCACGTTAATCTAAAAAAAATAGCCAGTCTTGTCAAAGGGTAAAACGATCTTTCACCATAATAGGATGAAGTTAGAAGTTTAACCATTGCCTTGGACTCTCCGAGGGAAGATCCTTCTGCGCCAAGCTTGATCCTCACACAGGCCTTGTCTGCAGAAAAAGGATGTGTGCTGTGCATGGCGTGGCGTCCTCCTCCTGGTCGCCACTTGGAGACCTTAAAGCACCTTTTGGGAACGCGATTTGCACGCGTTCTCAAGAAATTTATTTTTTTAACGAAAAAATTATATATTTTAAATTATTTTAATATTCTAATCTTAAAAATAATTTTTAAAAAATAAAAAAATATTATTTTAATATATTTTAACAGAAAAAATATTTTATAAAACAGCTTAAACGATAAAAAAATATTACTTTAATATATTTTAACAAACAAAATATTTTACAAAACAAATGGAAGCAATTTCAGATAACAGAACAAGGCTACATCTGTAACTTTCACTACTCCACCTCTGTAAATGCGTGGAGAAACGAAGGGCAACCAAGTCCAAAGAATCTTGATTGGGATCAATAGCTTACTGGCAAAGCATCCTGGCCTGCCAAGTGGACCGCAAAGAAGGACAAATGTCTGTCACGCTGACAAGAGAATGAAAGTTTCATGAGCAGCCACTGCTTCCCACGTCGTGCAAAGCGGTTGAGATTTGTTACACCACCCCTGCATCCATAAACCCACTCCACCACCACTCACAACTCACAACTCCTGGAAAATTTAGCAAGAGCATCTTGGGTAATCAATATTTTTCTCCTTGTACACTTCTATCCTTCTTTTTGTTTTTTTAGTTTTACTAATCTTACTTTATATGGCGTGGAGGCATCTTTTCATGTTTTTGTTTTGTTTTTCTTGCTCACTTCTCTTAATTTCTAAGATATAAATAGCCAAAAGATAATTACAAATTAAAAGATGTACTTTTAAAAATATAATTAAAAATATAGTTACAGTTATATTTTTAATCTTTTAAAAAATATTAAAATAATAGTTTTTATTTTTAAAAACTTATTTTTAATATCAATATATTAGAATAGTCTGAAAATAAAAAAAATATTAATTTAAAATAAAAAAATAAATAAAATTTAATTTTTTTAAAAATTACTTTTAAAATATAAAAACAAACATATTAATAAACTATTTAATTATCAACTAAATAATAATATTGAAAAAGTTTAAATCAAGTGGGTGTTTAAGAATGTCGTGATGATTGCTTTTCAAAGTATTTTTAATTAAAAATATATTAAAATAATATTTTTTATTTTAAAAAATTATTTTTAACACCATTACATCAAAATAATCTAAAAATATTAATTTAAAATAAAAAAATAAATTCAAATTTTTAAAAAAATATTTTTAAAACAAAAAAAACAAACAAACAGGTTTTAAGGGACTGGAAGTGAACTTCTATGAGCCTCTAAGGACAAGAATGAAGTTTGCTAGAAGAATTTCTAAAGAAAAACCCTGGCCTGTCACATGCATGCCAAATGCCTCTCGACTCCTACACGGACCCACTCACTACCTCCGCCCTCTAATACCTTACCTGGCTGCAACTCTGTACGGGCCCCACCTCTTTGACCCTGGTAGTAGGAGTACTGGAGAAGTGTAGAGCCCGCGCGTGGTCCCCGCTTTACTACTTTGCGATATGGATTTAATCATTTGTTCTCTCACATCTCTTTACCCTTCTCTTCTCTTTACTGCTTTCGGGCTCTACAAATACTTGCAGATTGCTCTCACCGCTCCTCTCCGCTTTCGCTATCTCCTTCAATTCTCCCAAGTTAAGTTGAAAGATAAGAGATTTTTGTGTTCCAAGAAGGGCCCGGCTCTACAAATACTTGCAGATTGCTCTCAACCCTCCTCTCCGCTTTCGCTATCTCCTTTAATTCTCCCAAGTTAAGTTGAAAGATACGAGATTTTTGTGTTCCAAGAAGGGCCTAGAGAGGCCAGGGTTTGCATTTGATTAAGCACAAGCACAGGTCGCTTCTCCTCTAAAGCCCCTTCTGTTCTCTTCCCTAACCTTGCAAATACAGCTAACTCCAACTGGGCTTGTTATCATTAAAGCTTGAGAAAGCAGCAAAGAAAAACACCAGATACTTCAAAAGCACCAACACTCACCAATTCCACTTCCACTGATATTTTTGTTTTGCTATCGAGGTGCTACTTTTTCTGTATTTTAAATATGGCAGAGAGTTTGGATAACGGTGAGTTTTGGCTGCCTCCTCAGTTTCTCTTAGACGACGATACAGTATTTATGGAAAAGAACACTGTTAATAACTTGAAGAACTGGAGTGCCAAGGATGTCTTTGGCTACTCTGAAACTGAGCATGGAAAGTCTTCGGTCCCATACGAGTTTCCTTATGGATTTGGTTCCTTTGGGTTTTCTTCGGATCTCAGTTCTCCTGTTGAGTCTTTGGTTGGCTCTACTGAGACAGAGAGTGACGAAGAAGATTACCTGGCTGGGTTAACTCGCCAAATGGCTCACTCCACCCTTGAAGATGATTTCAAGAGAAACGACCTCCCTTGCGGCACCGAAAAGACCACGGTATTGCTTCCTTTATGTTTCTTTTTAAAGTAGGACAACCTACTCTGGTTTTTGTGATTATGTTTTTTGGGGCTAATGTTCGGGTCTTGGATTTGCCTCTTTTGCAGGGTTGGGTTTTGTCTGGATCGCCTCAATCAACGCTATGTGCAGTTGGAAGCAGGTGCGGTCGTAGACAAGGGTCTAGCCGTGGAAGCCCGAATGGGTCTTCACCTCCAGCAACTTGGGATCTGCTGTACGAGGCTGCAGGGGAAGTAGAGAGGATGAGAATGAACAACGAAGAAGGATGTTGTCTTAACGGCCAAAGTAGAGGACCATCAGGTCCACCAAAAAAACCCTCTCCAATCTCTATTCCGTCGAAAAATCTCATCTCCGACGTTAGTCTTTACCAACAGCAGCAGTCCCTTGCTTACCAGAAGTTGCAGGCATCTCAAGTAATTTGCCAAACAGTGCCTTAGTGTACTTTCACTTGTTTCTTTTTGAAGAGAGGATAGGCTCCTACTTTCGCTGATTACTAATTGAGGCATGTGCTCTGTTTGTTTGTTATTCAAATTTCAGCAACTGAGACAAGTGATGCAGCAGCAGCAGCAGGGTGTTTGGGGAGGGCAAAACAACATTATGGGGACTGGAGTATTGTTTCCTCAAAAGCCGCATCAGACCCAGCCAGTGGTCCAAAACAGAGGGAGGAATGTTACTTGTGTTGGTAGAGGACCATTGGGTTTGTCTGCATCTGCCTGGCCGCCTCTACAAAACATAACACAGCAACAACAACATCTCCAACAGCAGAACAACAATCATGGTTCGGGCATGCGGGCTGCTTTCCTTGGTAATCCTGGAGGGAAAAGGGAATGTGCTGGTACTGGGGTTTTCTTACCTCGTCAAATCGGTGCTCGAACTGAATCTCGCAAGAAGCAAGGTCTGCTCTCGCTCTCCTTTGCCTTCTGTTTCATTTTACTCTGATTAAAACTTTGGACCCTGGTGTCATTTATTCATATTTTCTTTTAATCCTATTTATTCTGGAATATGTCTAAGTTAGTACTAATTTTGGTTCTTGTGACTGATATTATGACAGGGTGTCCCACTGTTTTGCTTCCAGCGAAAGTGGTGGTGGCTCTCAACTTGAATTTGGAAGGAATGGGTGCTCAGGCCCAGTTCCAGCCTCGTTTTAATGGAAGTTTCACAACTGACAGTGGTAAATATTTTGTCTGCCTCCACATTTTGATGTAATTATTGAGTATTTCTTTCTTATTACAGGATTAACCAGACTAATGTTTTGTTTTTTGTTTTGTTTTTGTATGGTGTGAAGATACCGCTGCTGCAAGGCCTCGCAGCAATAACATTCTTTCTCATCATCAGAAACATCGCAATGGCAGGCCACAACCAGTAATGAACAACGAAGTCAGCTTACCCTCGGAATGGACTTATTGACCCACCATTTCTTCTGGGTTTTTCACAACTAGTGTTGGTTTTTGTTTTTAGCTAGGAAGCCTAAATGAAATTTGGAAGGTTAGAAGAAAAAAGAAAAGAAATTTGGATGATGATGATAGAAGGTCACTCTAGGAAAAGATTGCACAAACAAAATAGTGAAAGGAGAAGGAAAAAAAGAAAAGAAATTGATTCGATGTTACGGGGTGATGAAAGAAAGATGTGAAGAGATGTTTTTTGGGGTAGAACTAGGAAGAATAATTTAATTTTCTATTTTCAGGAAGTCAGCAGCAGCTTTTTGTTCGTGTTGTATGGCTCAAGAGACGAGAAAGTGGACTGGGGATGCTATATTTTGTTGTTTTGAGGGTGGGGGAAGAGGGTGGAACCACGTTCTGCACCGAAAAACACTATCATCTTCTCTTTCGATGAACATTGGTATATCACCAAATGTTTGTTAGTCCTTCTCTGTAAAAGTTCATTTCAGCCTGTCCTGTCCACCCGCTCCAAAGCCATTGATGAAGTGATTAAAGAATATATTTTTTTTCAAGTTTCTCTCTCTCTCTCTCTCTCTGTGGCTTGCTTCTTCTTCAAGAGTTTTAATTGGCTTGTTGATGGTGATGAAGTTTTAAATTGTGTGGTTTTTTTTTTTTTTTTAATTTTTAATTGTGTGTTGCCTGTGTCAGCTGTTTGGTTTTCGAATATAATAGTAATTAGAGAAGTATTCATTTATTAATTACTTTTCAATGTTCTTGACAACTGGAGTAGTCACTCCCCACACTGCGCCGAACATGCTTGGAAAACGCGGTTCTACCCGGTTATTTAAAAAAGTTTATTTTTTTTTACTTTATTTTTTTATATATTTTGAATTAATTTGAAATATTATTTTAATATATTTTAATATAAAAGTTATTTTAAGAAATTTTCTATTCCATCTTACAAGGTTCTTGCTTTCTCCTAGGTCCGGTCGTGTTCGCAATTAACCTTAAATCTTTTTTTTATTAATCAGAGTGCAAATAACCTTTTAATTCATGTAATATAAAAGTTCTTTCGTGTGTTTTTTGTATTATTATAAACAGGTTTAATTAATTTTTTAGAGAAAAAGAAAAGGATAAAACGTAATGGACAAGGCTAAGTAAGAATCATTTATATAATCATTAATTTTAAGTTGATAGTATTAATTTATGTTAATAAAAAAAAAATCACTCATTTCAATGAAGATTTAAATTATTTTTTTTTATTTTTTTAAATTATTTAAATTTATTAATATTAAAAACAAAAAATTATTTCAAACTCCCTCTTTATCACCGGACGTTACACCCATAAATGGTCTCGTGACTATCCTTGCTAACTTTGATAAAACAAATGATACCATGTGTAAAAATGATTTTCTTAAGACTGAAGGTAGAAAAGACGGAAGGAGTAAATGAGTGAAGACAACAGAGCAGTCGTTGCTTCGTAATGAAGTATCTTCTCCAAGTAGTAAACTAGACTAGCCAGTAGTCCCTACTGCAACTAGCCGACTTGAGCTGTAAATAGAAATGGGTCATCGCGTGTATGTTTCTCTTTTACACGTGTCAAACAACTCTGGAGGCCTGATTTTTTTCTCTGATTGGCCTCTGGGAAGTAGACAATAAACAGAAGCTAAAGCATGCCCGGGTTGCTTTCACCGGATGGCAAACAAGCTACGTTGCCGGCGAAGTGTGCGTACGAGGCCTTAGCCACGTCGTCGGCCGTGCACTTTGGATTCACGTGGAGCGCACTACTTTTGTCTTGTGCTGTGGGGTTGGCGAGATGGGCTTTACGCTCGTTAACAGCGCTTGGGAAATGTACGGGTTTTTTAATTTTTTATTCTTGCTTTACCTTTTTCTTGCTGCGTCGGTTGATGTGTGTCCTTTGCGATGGTCGTGCATGTTGTGCTTATTTCGTGTGTTTATGCTTTGACTAGGTCACGCTCATGTGCCCGTGCCGCCCCCGTCCTATTCACAGCTTTCTTTGTTTTCTCTCTTCATCGGCTTCCTCCATGTTTATTTAGGCTGAGGAGACTAGGTAATTAAAATCATTGTTAATTTTCACTTTTTACCTTGAGCGAATTTCGAGGTCTTTTTTGTTTTGACGTATGAATTTTTTTTTAATTATAAAATAAAGAAAGAAAAAAAATACTTAATTTTAAATGCACAAAAATAAAAAATGAGAGAGAAATTATTGAAGCTTCAGCTTTCCAAGGCTATAAAACACAGGGAAATTATTATACAGACATAAAACATTGCTACAATGAAATTATGTGTGCTTGTAAAAGAAGATAAGAAACCTCGGGGTTGGGGTATGTTAGTGTTTTTGCATCACCAATTAGACATTAACGGATTGTGCATATTTTTTCAATTTTCATAGAACACCAAAAAATATATAACATGTATTTTAAAAATAAATAAATAAATAAATTTTAGTCATGTATTCAAAATTAGTTGTATATTACATGATATATTTTTTCTAATATTAAAATAAGAGTATATTGGATTTACCTTAGAAAACTTGCAAAATTTATTTTATAAAAAAATAAAAAGTTTATTTTTTAATTAATTAAATATTAAAAAATTAAATTAAATAAAAAATAATTTTTAATTAAAATAAAATAAATAAATTGGAGTCAACCAACCAAACTTGCAATATTGGTTATGCATGTAATTAGATTCAATAAAAAAATTTATAAGTGCATGAGAATTTTCTTGTAAAAATATTTTTTAAAAAGAAAAAACAATAATAAATATGTGAGATTGAGATATAAAAAATAGATTATTGAAAACAAAGAGTGAAATTATATTTTTTAAAATTTTAAATAAAATTATATATATATATATATATATATATATTCGTAATGATCCATATTAGTTTATTTAAACAAGAAATCAAATAAAAATCAACTTTTCCCTGTTTGCTAAATTTTGGCGGCATATGGCCTATAATGGTAATATATTTTTTCCATTCAAATTTTCCTTTAATTTTCACTTTCCTCACACATACTCACATTATTATATTCAAGCACGAATTACACACCAATTGAAACAACTAAACTCACTTCTTTCAAAATGTCCTAGGACAAACCTCCATAAAAGAAAATATGGATTTTTCTTTCAATTTTTTCATGTGATTCAACTTTTATTCATATTTCAGTTATTTTAATTAATATATTCAGATATAATTTTTATATTAATTAAACAAAACTTTTATACATACTTCACTTATAGCTGGAATAGCCGAATTATGTTTCTAAAGAGAAAGCATGGATTTTCTTCCAATCTTGACAATTGATACATTATCCACTTATTTTTCATGTAAATGAACATAATCCTAACCAAATTTCATAATAATTTGATTAAACAAGTTCACATCCTTTATTCATACCCAATAAAAAAGAGGTATGTTCTTTTTCTTAGATCTTGAAATTAATTTATTACTCATTCATTAAATTCTTCTTTCAAGATAATTAATCCTTCTTTCAAGATAATTTATCATAAATAATATCTGAATTGATCCAACCAATTAAAGTTCTTTCAGCCAAATTCTATCCTCTACAAAAACAATTTTTTTATATATATTTTTTTTCAATTGCCACATAATCCATTTTTAATTCATGACTAAGAACATCATTTGAACATAAAAACAACAATTCATACATATTACGCAATTCAAGACTTATTATATCATAACAAAACCTTAATCAATCAAAATTCTTACCTTAGACTTATTATATCATAACAAAACCTTAATTAATCAAAATAAAAGTATTTCTTACCTCCGAATAGATGTAAAACAATGATGATTTAACAAGGATTCCTTTTATTTTTCCTCACCTTCACTGTTTCTTTCAAGATTGAAAACCTTAATTTTAGAAGTTTTTAATCCTTCTTGGAAGCTTGAAACCCCTTTCTAAATCTTTAAAAGCTTCTCTAAATACTTCAATCTTATCTTTCTCTCTTAAGAGTTTTAGCGCAAGAAAAATCAAGAAGAATCAATTGTTGCCTTCCTCCCTTCGACAATTATGGGCTTCATAAGAAGCTAAGAAATTTATTTATATATCTTATATAATTTATATTTCATATTCCGAACATTATCATTGTATTTTAATTCAGGATTTTTTTTAATTGAGTATCCTATCTTAGCCCAGTTTTAAAACTTGCTTTACAATGAATTTTTAATCTATAAAACTTAATTTCTAATTATTTAATACATATTTTGTTTTTATTTATATTTTTGTCCTATTATATCACCAGGTTAAATTTCCAATACTTTACTAACACCATAATATTTTAACTGAGAATTTATAAAAATTGTATTTAAAAAAAAATTGAGGGATAAAAAATATAATAAAACAATAAAAAAGAAAAAAAATAACAACTTTAACGTTGCGACTGAACATATTAAACCTACAATTTGGGTTATAGACTCAAACAAGCTCAATATTTTTTTTTTAAATTTATATTTAATCTAAATATAAAATTAAAAAAAAAAGTTAAACAACATGTTGTTTGCTGAGGTAGTTAATGTGTCACTTGCTAGCCCAACTTCTGGCAACCACCATAATGGCTAAAAAATTAGTGTATTAGGTTTCCTCTCTAAAAATCTAATATTTAAGTAATCGCAACCTAAAATCATCTTATCAACAGTCTTAGAACATTTAGAAATTAATTCATCAACTCAAAAAACTCAAAAAACAATCCAAAAACCTGAAATTAAACCGGGTTTGATTTGTCATCCTTGACTTAAATCTTTTTTAGACAACATTGAAACTCTAAACAACTACCATCAAGCTCTTTTCATTGCATGAAACCCATCGATATAAATAACAACTATTTTGATAGTAAAAAATGATGTAACTGATGACTTTCTCTCTCAAAACCTGAATTGGTGATATCTCTCTCTCATTTCTCAAACTAGAGATTGAAAAATAATAATAATGATTTTTTTGTATAAAAATTGAATTGCAACAAATTCTAAAGATTGAATGAGTATAATATGAAAAATTGAAGGACTAAATTGAATTTTCACACCAACTTTGAATGATCACCCATTTTTTATGCCTTTTTCCAAATTGGTCCACCTTTTATTTTTTTCCTCGGCTAACAAAATGAAAGCAATTGGCCATCAGTTTTGCAATTAAAGGACTTAATCACCAAAAAAGAATTTGAGGATCAAAATGAAAAGGTAAAAAAATCAATTGCTTTAATTTATAGTGGATTGTGAGAGAGTGCATAATAATTTCACCTCACAACTTAGTTTTTTGTAATGAGTCTTGATTGTCTGGGTTGGACTAAAAGTTAATTTAATGTAATAAAATAAATATGTGAGTGTTGTCCTTTTTTTTTCTTCAAACTAAGAAAATTTTCAAATGTGAATTGAAAACATGATGGGTGTTTGATGAAACTAATAATTTAATGTAATAAAATAAATATGTGAGCGTTGTCCTTTTTTTTCAAACTAAGAAAATTTTCAAATGGGAATTGAAAACATGATATGTGTTTGATGAAACTAGTTGATAAACATATGTTCTAA